AACCCAAACCGAGTACTCAACACCTTAATAAACTGTGGAAAAAATTGGTAACTTTTGCTGAGCCACAGTTAAATTCATCTAGGCGACCGTACTAACATCATAATATTCCTATTTTATCATACTAACCTACACATACTCTTGAAAAATTAAAGCGGGTAATTACTCGAAAAGCAAAAAAAAAAAAACTTGTCACCGTAAGTTCATCATCATTCATAACCATAAAATATAACAGAACAATAAAAATACAGAAAAAAATGTGTTTGCGTGTATTTCTGTTGCGTGTATGTAGTTCCGAGGGCTTTTCTCAAGGACTTGATGCTGCTTATAAGCAGACTTCAAGCGTTTCTGCGTTAATATTGCATCTGCAACCAAGTCAGCTTAGAGATCGTAAAAGAAAATTATATTCAACAATTTTATTTAGCTTGAGGGCGTTTTTAATTAAATTTCTTGCGGGAAAAAACAACAATCTCCATTTTGGTAGAAGTTATAACTGCTATTTCGGAGATCGCCACATCTCCTAATCAGACTTCTTCAACTGGGATTCGATCCAACAACCCCAGCCGCCTAAGCCAGTAGTCTTACCCATTGAGCTACATAAAGCATTGTTCACTCAAAAGCGGTACGCGTTCCAGCGATTCCTGTACAGCAATTGTTTGAATGTATTAAAAGGTTGCAATGCAGATAGAGCTAGACAATAGATCTACCTTTATGGGGTTTAAATTTCATAGTGCTGGCTTTTAATTTGACAGTTTTATTCGCTTTGGAAGTGGCTGCTCAAAAAATAATGTTGAACGAATTCGTTGAAAATCCGACATCCCCGAGATCAAAAATCAAATTGAAATTAAATATACCAAAACCCTCTAATTTTCCTCAAAAAAATCAATGAGTGAGTTCGTTCTGCTTAAACTAACAGCTTAAGGATAAGGCTCTTTACTTCAATTATAAAAAAAAATCGGTTTATCGGAAGAAGATCGCGCAAGAGAATTAATTGGAAAACGATTATCCACAGTTCAGCGAATGGAAGCTATGGCAAGACTTAAACCTTATCGAGTTATATTATATAATTCTGTTAGATTAAATAACCACACCCGTTTACTTTACCCCAATGTTCACACCAAATGTGGTATTTTTTAGTAATGACTAAAAAACATGTTTAAAACTTGACTTCAGTCAACTCCCACGTTAAAAAGTTTAAGCTAAAAAGAAACAGGGTGATATCCTCTTAAAACTAAATTTATAGAAGTTGACACAACTCAATACGAGTACACCACCTAGAGCCAGAAACCTTAGCTCATCACTGCTGTGATTTATACTGCGCCTCAAAGTTTGCTGCTGCTGCAACAGATATGCCGCTACGACACAAATGTTTAAGTTTTTGTGTAATTTTGCGGCGTACTCGAAATTACAACTGTGATGAGCTAAATTCTGTGACTCTGTTGCTATAGAAGGGTTAATATCATATTCGTCATCAGTCACCTCAAGGAGCACTATGCACATCAAAATCAGTCAAATATGTACATATTTATGAAGTAAACGCATTTGTCGTGCTAGATCCTCAATTCATTCCAATATGCGTCTTACGAAAAAGATGCTCTATTTAATGAAGGAGGAATCGGTGGGCCGAGTTCTTGACATTTTTACATTAGCCAGTTATTGGAGTTTCGAAATATTGAAGATAAACTGTTGTACTCGATGTAACTTTTTTTATAACTTTTACTAATATAAAAATTTCAAAACTTTTTTAATAAAAAATGGCTTTTATCAAATATGTAATATAACTAACTATTCTTCAAACAACTATATTATTAACAAAAATAGCAAAAGAAAGTGCATACTTACCTGACGCCTCACTACCCATGTTGACAAAACTGTTATTTATAAATAAGAATCAAATGACAAGCGAAATTATTTTATCACCACTTAAAAGAAAAGACATAAATTCGACGAGTGAAAGAAAAGCCAACTTTGCGCTTTTGCTAAAGCTACTGCGTTGCATGAAAAGTCAAAATTTCTATGTTACATTGTGGACTGGTTTATAAGGAGTATTGCAAAGTTATGTGTGACAAGGATTAAGGAATTTAGTTTTTATATTTTTGCCGTCGTATTGAGTCACTTTGTCCTTATGAGCACCGTTCGGTGTCGGCGTAAAACGGAGAAGCTCGGCCAAACACTAACGTATGTGTAAGCGCCAATCTATTACACTGATCAACAAAATTCTGTTGAGTAAAATATTGTGGCCGATCCTTATAGGATTTACCCCGGGGAGAATCCGAATCTGATATTGGATTGGTTCTAGTTTTCGAGCAACTTAGCCTTTTAGACATTCAATAGTTCTTATCTGAGCCTGCATAGTACTGAAATGTCATGTAATAAATATGTTCTTAGAGTTTTGAGCGTTTTGATTGATCCTAAAAAATTATATTGACCTCAAAAGGGAAGAACTCATCTGCTTACGTGTAATTCCTATCGGGAAAATAAACCCTCAATGCGCGACCTCTTAGAATTGCCCTAGAGGAGGAAGGTCAATGTGTGATCATTACTAAGTAGGAGATCAATTACGAAAATTTGAGTCCTGTTCCGGTCGCATTGCAGGAATTTTTTTCCTTCTAATGTACATACTAGGGATGTGCCGGATATAGATTTTGCCGGATAACCGGATTCCGGATATCCTGTAAAAAGTAACTGCCGGATTCGGATATCCGATCGGATATCCGGTAGACTTTTGCCCTTAATAAATTTCACAATATTGTTTTTTTGCCGGCTCGAGTTCATCTCGACATCCGCACCGTTTCTGATGCTACAGAATTTACCACTTCGAAAACACAATTACGCACACATCTGTGCGATGATATCGCAGTGAAAAATGGCATCTTATAAACAAACAAAAAACAATCTTCATCAAATTCTTTGCTTTTGAACAATCAAGATGTTTTGTTTTCTTACGTTAATTTTTGTTTAAATTATACAGAATCCGCCTATTAACCTTTTTCGTTTCCGAACGCGTAGGTCTGCAATTTCCAATTAATAATTGCGGCATTGTTGTAATTTTTTCGGAACAGATTCGCACCGTCAGAATCGCACATGTGTGTTGATGCCTTATATGGACCTTACATGGTCACATTGTTTGATCAAACTGTCTTCTGTGTAATTAGATGGTTTAACTTACACGCTTCAAAAAACCCATAAAATTTCAGTTTTTGTTGAAGTTGTATCACCACAAAAAAGGTTTTGGAGATTTATTAGTTCTAAAATGAAGTCGAATTATTTTCTTTTCTTGCTCATTTCTTCTTTTTATTTAAATTATCGGGCACTTGTTCTTTCACTTTGTTTATCATTTTGATCAAACAGCACTTTACATGGTCCACAGCACATGTCAAACGACTATCAAATATGATGAAAGTCAAAACTACTAAGGGTATTCATCAAAGCTTATAAATGCAATGTAAACCGTATAGACTTATAATTGTGTAAACTTTATAAATGAACTGTCAAAATTTGTATGGAAACTCGTTTACACATTTCTGATACATTTATCCAGCGATTTCACTGAATAAACCTGATAAACTGAAGCCAATGCAACTCTGTCGCAAAAGGTATGAAATTGCGATTCACTTATCAAAAGTATTTATAGAACTATTAATAAAAAAATTTACTTGATTATAGAACTAAACATTCAACAACGACAATGCTTCACTATTGCAACATTTTATGACCCACGTTTCAAAACTCGTTTTTTTCTGACGCCAATAAAGCTAAAAACTGGGTTGTTGATGAACTAATTCGAAATTATAAATCAGTTAGCATGGAGAAACCAGTTGAATCATATGAAAAATGCCGAACTATAGTGAAAGCTTCCATCGAAGATCGAGCTCACGAGGATATTTGGCTATGCTTTGAGGAAATCGCCAACGGCTCTGATGCTGATTCTAGTGATATGGATAGCCAAACGATTAGTAGACAAGGCAGCGAACGTACATGAAAAAAGGCAGCAATTTATGAACTAGAAATAGAGAAATATTTGCAGCTACCTCTTATATCCAGACAAGAAGATCCCTTAACTTGGTGAAAGTATAGCCGCAAAGAATTTCTAAATTTGCTTACACTGGCATTGAAGTATCTCTGCGCGCCACCTTCCTCAGTGAACTCGGAAAGAGTATTTAGTGCATCGGGTAACATTTATGTTGAAAATAGAAATAGGTTGTTGCCCGATAATGTGGAAACTTTGATTACTAATTATATGCTATTAAATTGGATTACAAAAATACAAAATCTGGGAAAATTTCTAAATTGAATCTTTTATAATCGATATCCGGAATCCGGCCGGATATTAGCCAGTATCCGGCCGGATAACCGGATAACCAAAAAACGGCCGGATAGGCCGGATTCCGGATATCTACCGGATACCCGGCACATCCCTAGTACATACAAATATCGTTAGCTTAGAGAGCAAAGTCTCTAAGCCAGAGAGGGAAAAATATTCTTGTTGTCATTTTCTTCAAGTATTTCGAAAATCTTTGAATACAACATTTCGCGTGTTTAAAGCAAAGAAAAACTCTATACGAATAAGAAGGATTTGATCTTTATTAAAAGATTTCGTAATATTTTGGTTTTGTCGGCATTTCTTGCTTCCTACATCAAAATATGGGTTTTCATAAAAAGTGGACTTAGCAACTTTTCACGCTAAGCTAGCGATTTACGTGTACATATAATGCCAATAAGCAAACACTCATAAAATCATTTCACATACAATTTTTTTTTTTTTTTTTCACCTTTGCAGCATACTAAATTGTTTTTTTTTCAGTGGTGTTTGTCCAATGGCTATGTTTACAGTTTAAAGCGCATGTTGAGCTAGTGACATCGATGTGAGCTACATATTGAAATTGCACAAATAAGTTATATCAAAAGTTTCTCTTGACACACTCGATTTCGTTTAAATGTTCATTACAGCGAAAATTTTTAATTGAAATACATACATATGGACTTAGTCGGTTAGTATGGATTCAGTCCACACCCACAACTATGACATCGATGTCGTGCTCGCCTATCTCTATGAACTCATTGTACTCGCCTTTGTCTTCTTGCATTGTAGATTGGACCCCTAAAAAAAAAAGGAGAAGCTAATTAAGTACATATTTCAGTATGTATGTATGTATGTATGTATGTATGTACTCAATATATACATAAATATCGATACCTTAATAAACATAGAATGGCCTTATCTAACATTTTTGCTTCTTTACAGTGTAAGTACTTGCTATGAAATATAATGTAAACATACATTATTTCTCATTGTTTTTAAATTGGTTTAGGTCCTTGAAGAGTAATTCACTGGTTTAGAATGGTGGTAGAATTTCTGAAGAAAATAATTTAAGCCTTTCTATATGAAGGTACCGATATGTATGTATGTATGTATCTTCAGAAAACATGCTTCCGAAGTAAATGTTACCATCATCTCATGATGGACCCACTAATTAGAGCCGGGATACTATCGGTGGTGCCATCAGTAGTTGGTGCCACAATATAGTGGAGTTTTCAATTTACTTAATCAAGAAAAATGTATTAATTAATGTTTATAACAACAAAACAATGTGTTCCTCTCTTTACATCATCGTGATCAAAAAAAAAACTGAATGCAAAAATATTTATGTATATATATAAGAAAAAATGTGCGTATCGTGTGGCAAAACCAACTGAAATGTTTATAAATAAAGTGTTATAGTGATATCATTACTACCGAAAAATGTTGCCCTTGCACGTTGCAAACTGTATTTGATGTTACACTCGCCCCTGTAAAAGGGCATGTTTTTGCCTTCTTGCCCTTGTCCAGCTCACGCATTTCACAATACCTACATACGTTTTAAGCAACCATCTGATTTTCAGGGCAACAAAGTTTCAAAGGGCAGAAAATGTGCCTTTTTGCCTTACAAGAGTGTGACATTTTAAGAAACGAACACCGCCGTTTGCCTTTATTTTGGAATCGAACGCGAAAAGAGAAAGGGGCAATGAAAAGGCGACATTTTTGGTAGAAACGGAAACACAATTAATGAATAAAAAGTTTGAAAACATCTCAAAAATTTACAAGTTCTTAAAAGAGTACGATCTGCTTCAACGTTTCTAATATAGCCCTCATTAACCAGCCAGCCGAAGTTCTCTGTAGCTAGCACTGCTATTTATGGTTCATATATGTATTGTTATTGATATGTAAAATTTTATAAAAAAAAAATCTTAAGTTTAGTCATAAAAGGTCCCATTGAAATCAAGAATAACAGAATACAAGATTGCGCCAATCGAGCTGACAGCAACCGGGCGTGACGTCAACAATTACCAGAATGAGAGAGCAAGACGAACTCGACAAGAAAAAGAGGAAGCATCGAACAAAAGACAGTATTGTCACTGTGAAATGATTTTGTTAAAATTTTTTTAAAGTTGTTTACTACACTTACGATCGCTATAAATTTTGCTTTCTTTTTTTTAAGATTTTCAAAGTCACCAAACTAAAAAAATTTCGCGTTTTGAATAACCACTAAATTTGGTGCGAAAAGCATCAAGTTGGCAACATTGAATGTAAACAAAAGTATTGTGTGACGTCAGCGAATGGGTGGATGCTGTCAAATCGACGAAGAGAGGGTTAGCGGTCCGCGAATGGCGCCACCTTCATTTTCTGCATCGTTCATTGAAATCACTTCAAACGGCGAAAACACAATAATTTTATATATGCATACATACATACATCTAATAATAAGTAACTTTTTTATGCAAAATTTTTTAAAATCTTTTTTAGCGATTTTATCGCGATATATAGTATCGGTTGTCATTTCAAACAATAACAAACATATACATACATATGTCGATAGTTTTCCACCTCTATCCTTAATGGCATACCTACGGATGATGTACTGTTGAATTCGGAACTTATTTTTTCTCCCTGCACTGTAGAACTTTGCGCCGCGCTGGTATCCGTGTATTTATAAACAGAGAAATACGTTTGGATGCGCTGAATTATATGCTCCAGAAACGGCGGAAATTTGTGCTCGGTGCCGTCGCCATAGATTTTGATGTTGCCTTTGCTATAGCTGGCCACTCGCCGTGGATACGTTTTGAAGCCCCCGGTCGCAGCTTTGAGAAATAGGATATTCGGCATATTGGCGTTATTTCCCGCGGATCCCCGCAATATCACTGTACCGTTCGGCGTAAATTCGAAGTAGCCGAACCTTTCGAGACCACCCCGGCCACCTTCGAAGCGATTAAAACCACCTGATTCATTGACGTGCTTATTTGCTTCAAAATTTTGAAAGATTGTTCTGCTGTATACGAATGGCAACACGCGCGCTTGCGTAATATTCAAACCAACCAAGAAAAAGTGAATCAAGGAGACAAATAATCCAATGTCCCAAGCTCTCATTGCACAACCACCAGACTTATTCATATTAAAACTTCACAGATAATTATAGTTATGTATGGCTTTGTGACGCGATCGCTTATTTCAATTTGTACCGCTTTCTTTTGCGTCAATAATGTAACTGATGGGGCATCGCACGTATTAACAGCAATAACCGCTTTTAGTGCCTAAATAACTGCACACGATTGGCATTTACAATTGGCATCGTCTGCATTTTGCAGGTCCATAATTACCAATGCAAGTATGTATTTACGCTTGTAATGTCATTGGAAGAATTTTAATTATTGGCGTGGTCGAGCCTCTGAAGGCGG